TGCATTGGTGTAGATGCACTTGAGCTGGGCTATCAATTTTGCCCCTGGCATTGGCATGCCACCCCTAGGCTCATCTCTAGTGAGCCTGGTTTTGTCCCCTTCCCCCTTCAAACTTAGTTTAAGGCCCTCTCAGTGAGCCCCACCAATTCATGAGTGAGAATCCTTTTCCCCGTGTGAGACAGCTGAGCTCCATCTGTCGCCAGCAGGCCCGGTGCCGTGTAAACCTCCCCATGATCAAAAAAGCCAAAATTCCTCCGATGGCACCAGCCCCTGAGCCACGTGTTGATCAAGTGTGTTTTCCTGTTCCTTTCAGTATTCTTCCCTGCCACTGTAGGGATCGAGGAAAACACTACCTGTGCTCCTGATCCTTCAACCAGTCGCCCCAGTGCCCTGAAGTCCCTTTTGATCGCTTCAGGACTTCTCTCTGGAACCTCATCGCTGTCAGCCTGTATAACTGACAGCAGGTAGTAGTCAGAAGGCCAATATTATATTGCACAATATAATTGTAATTCTACTATTAAGCCTCACTACCTTTCTGCCAAATCTGGAATTACAACAATCTAGGCAAGAATGGAAGGTTTCACTTAATTAATATGTAAAGAAACCAAAAAATTCATTTGCCTTAGGGCAAACCGCAGGAGTTTGTTTCTTACAGCAAAAACTGGAATTTAACCTGGTCAAAAAAGTATGTAGGCTCTTAAATATTTGCCAAGAAAAGAAAAAAAAAAAAAATCACATGATCGCTTAACATTCCGTTTGAAAGATTGCCCTTAAAACAACATGTGTGCAACACCGTGCTCGGTAAATCAGTTCACTAACAACTCAGAAGGAAGAGCATGACATCTTACAGCATGAGCTCTGCCTGACTTAGGCACAACAGAATCCCAGAGCTCATGCTATGGCTTGTCATTTTACTGGTTAAATCATAAACGTAGCAAAAGAAATACATATTGTTTCATCCTAATGAAGATTATTTTTATACAATTTTAAAAGCACTTTTACTTTATAAAATAATTCTAGCTGCAATTAGCTATAGCCTAAATGATAAGATGTTTTAATGTTTAAAATCTGTGTCACCACAGTGTTAACTATTCTTACTCTCCAACTTAGGATGTTGACTGTTAAGTGTCTCAGTCCCTGCTCTGATATAATTTTGTAGGTATTTCAACAGAACCCTACATATTTCCCCCTTACACTCAATACTAAGGCCAAGATGATTAAGGCCAAAATTGTCACTACTGACCACTCTGAGGCACCTAACTCTTCCACGTTGTAACTACTCCTACATCTCTTTGCTTCAACATAACTCCTGACAAACTTGTTCTCAGAAGTGAACGCAAAGTAGCTAAAAAAAAAGAAAGTATCACTAGGTTTCAGGTAAAACGCTTAGGAAAGAGACAGATTTATCAGCCATCTGTGAGAAGGCTTGTTAATATGACCAGCAAGAAATCATAAGGACTGGTTGGCAAAGACAAGAAGAGAACACAGTTTTTTTTTAGAGCAGAGAAGTGAGAAGGACTGCAGGCAGAAACACACTCATCACATCCATATCCTTAAAAACTGGAAATTGTGTAGGCAATTATGTGAGGTTATAAGCCAAGCTAACATACACTGCCTCTCAGCAGAGATCATTATCTGAGAGCTATGCCAACCGGAAGTCACCTACTTGCAGTTAACAGCATGTGTGAACAGAGAAAACCTGTGCAAACATCTCTCCATATATTAACTGCTGTTTGGCTTGGTCATGTCACAGTTGTTCTTCCAAGCTTCAGAAGAGGAAATGGAAGACTACAGAATACAAAGTAGTAAGTCCAGTGAGCACCTGACCGGTAAAATTAAACAGAACTTCCTTGTTAAGAAGTGAAGACCAAAACCTGTGCCCCCTCACAAACCAACACAGACTGCAATTAGAAACTATCAACAGCAAAAAGCCTTTCCCAGACAGCTGGGATTCACCAATGGGGTCAGAAACATGCCTTCAAATTGTCTCAGCTGACTTTTTTTACTGTGGTTAGCAGACCTACGTGTTTGCCACTCACAGTAGATATTAATTCAACTTCTGAAAATGGGGAAATGTGATATAAAAATCAGTCAGTGAATAACAGAGGGTGGGATTTTCTGACAGTTGAAGCATAGATGCCTACAAACAATAATGAAGCTGACCTGTAGACCAAAGACTACCAGGACACTGGAGGCAGGGGTGGGGTGGGGTATAATAATAAAGAAAATTTCTGACAACCTCATGGACTCTGCCTCCAGTCTCTGCCTGAAAGACTTAGTATGAGTGCGTAGAGCAAGGAGGGACAAAACTGCATCCTCATGCTACTTAGGAGGGAGGTATGACAGAGCTGTAATTCATACTTGTGTGTAATTTGTAAGATTTAAGAGCAATAAACTAAAAATCACTAGTTTTGTGTAATTAAAAGCTGCCCATCCCCATGAGTTCTTTCAGAACGTCCTTATTCCTCCTTACAAACTTAAGCCATTGTTTTTCTCCATCTTATACAGCCTTCACCAATCTGATATTCATTTTTATAGGAATGTCTTCTTCAATCACCAATGTTATAACTGCAATCACTTTCTTGTATTTTTTATGTTTTCTCTCAGTGCTCCTTGGTGCTCAAAGTTCTGTAAAATTGCACTACTTTTCTTCAATCCCTTCCATACATTTCTTCTTTGAGATAGTGTGCACTGACTAGTCCCCCCAGCAAAATATCAGTAACAGCCTTAATCACACCAGCACTTTCACTGAACTCTAGTAATCTACATCTACCACTTTCTGTAGAGCACTGGTTTCCATTGCCTTATTTGTGCTCATTCATTTGTTGTCTCTTGAGTATTTTAAGACAGGAAAGGGAAGAAACGAAGCATCCATCCTCTTGTGCTAAGAGGGAAGATCCTGTCACAATTGGCTTGTGGCCTGTGGCAGAGGACTCTTTCTTTTATTTCCATGAATTGCAGGAAATTATACCTAATGTTTTCTCCTTTTTTAAAGTCTCTTCACTTTTAAAAAGAAAAAGAATTATAACTGCAACCACTTCTGCATATTCTATACCTTTTTAATCTACTTCATATCTATTTTTATCACTTGACCTCCTTTGCTGTTATTTTAACAGTAGAAAATGCATCTTTGCCTACTCCAATGTTCCTTAAGCATTAGTTGTGTTTATAAATAAAGGATAAATTCAAAACACTGCACTTTTGAAGCTCACAGGAAAAAAAAATGCAAGTGAAACAGACCACAGAGACTTCTAGAACTAGCACAACATAAATATGAAATAAAGCATAAATGACAACATTAAATGGAAACTTACCCTGCTTGTGGGTTCACCATTCCCATTGAGTTTTTATGAGCTGGTGATAATGTCTGAAGTTTGCTCCCACTGGATCCAGATGAAGATAGTACTTTACTTGAAGAGGCACCTTGCAGTTGAAAGCAAGCATGGAAATATAAGAAAACGTCAGATTTTGCTGCTGGAATGATACAATTCATTATATATTTTTTAATTGTAAAATTCAAAACAAGAGTTTTAGAAATACCAAGATATGAACAAGTGTCAAGGCACTAGGAAAAAGCAAGTATGTTTTCAGAAATTCACAGAAAATATGCAATTGTGACATAATGTTCTATTCTAATAAAAAACATTGGATCTCAATTACTTTCTTCAGAAAGAAAAAGGAAAAAAAGAAGTCTAGAATGTCAAAGTATGTACAAACAGAACATGTTTGATATCTGATGATATCTGAAATCAGAATAAGACCAATGTTTGCATAATTATAATATACATGACTTGACTGTGTATTTTCACTAGTTCATGATCATATTCAGCATACAAATTAGTTACAGGATTAAGCAACAGAAAAAATTTCAGGTGAGAGGTCAGTATTTGATACAATTACGCATTACTACACAGAATGATTTTGCAGGTTCAATTCAGAAGAAACCTAATTTGACCCGATATATAAAACAGAAGAGAATCCTATGTACTCAAGAGTCTTGTTGGATAGATGCAAATTGCTGCCCCTTCCAACTTTACTTTAAATGAGTTTTTACAAACCACTGTATCAATTTCAACAATAAAGTATATAGCCATCATATATGTAAGTCAAAAAAATCAGGTCACAAAAACGTTGATTAAAAAAATTGTATTATGAAAAACAGACACCATCTTATCCACTCACGTAACACTGAACTCCTACAAATTTTTTTACTTCATCACTTTAAATCACTGGGCAATGCTGTAGAAATACTTTCAGCTATTAAAATTATACTACTTTTACTGCATAGTTTGAGAACTAATATTTAGGAAGGAAATGGAAAATTTATAACATTCATTTCATACCTACAACAGTTTTGCTAATACCACTTGGCTGTGGTAAGCGTGATGATGATGATGGTGTTGATCCTACAGAAGGCATCTTCTTAACTGCAGCAGGTTTGTACTGTAACAAAATACAACCTAGAAATTTAAGCAATTAAATCAAACTATCTATGTAACACAATAGGTAGTTATCTCAGGTACTGTGGGAAAACAGACGATAATTATAGAATCATAGAATCATTAAGGTTGGAAAAGACCTCCAAGATCATTGAGTCCAACCGTCAACCCAACACCACCATGCCCACTAAACCATGTCCCTAAGCGCCTCATCTACACGTCCTTTAAATAC